TCTATGAAAAAGCTTGCTAGCGCAGCTCCTGCGGAGCTGAAATGTGGAACTCACATATACCATTAAACCTTAATATTCTAATGCATCATATGTAAACTGAAAAATTTCGTGTACACTGTAGTTGTTTTCATTGATAATCAATGACAAGAGCGAGACTTTGTTATTTATTTCTACATTTAAAACAGAAAATGTTTTTGTTTGAGAGTGCCCTATTTTTATTTTGCATTGTTACTATTCGCTCATTAACTTTCATTTTTTTTTAATTCGTTTTTCGTAATTCAACATTCTTATTATTATAAGCATTGAATTAATTGGTAAATAAATCTGTTTTACATATCCATGATATCTACAGAAGATCTTACGCACTATTATATATATTAATCAGCTCACAAACAGTGATGCTGACTATCTTTCAAAATTATAACTTGATCAATTTTTCAAAAAAACTAGAAAGTCTGACTCCTGTTATTCTTAATTATTAAGATCTGTAATGGGGGTGTCTGTAATGGGGTGAGGAGGGGAGGGGGAGCTGCCAAACCTCAAACTTAAAACTAACACTCACTATTTTCTTCGGAAATATACATGAGTTCCACAAAAAATGAAAGATAATAAGCGAATAGCAACAGTACAAAATAAAAATAGAGCGCTCTCAAACAAAAAAAAATTTTCTGTCTTAAATGTAGAAATAAATAACAAAGTCTCGCTCTTATCATTGATTATCAATGAAAACAACTACGGTGCACACGAAATTTTTCAGTTTACATATAATGCATCAGAATATTAAGTTTTAAGGATATATGTGAGTTCCACATTTCAGCTCCAAAGAAGCTGCGCTAACAAGCTTTTTTCTAAACTCCTACTCCAACTCCAATTTAACTTCAATTCCAGTCCGATTTTAGAAAACTGAATTTTTGCCAAAACACTCTTAAATACACATAAGTTTTTGAACATAATTAAATCTACGATTGATATAAATTAGTAGCATATTAATTTATTGCTTTATAAACTTTTTCATAAAATCCAGAGATAGGCACCTCCATTCTTTCCCGTTCCTACTCCATAAAACTCCACTGTCACTCTGATGAGAAAAAGCGTCAACTTCAAAGTTGGAATTGTCCATCTCTGATATCAACCATTCCAAAATACGTACTCTTCAGATCCTCCTGAACATATTCATGACATACGAGCTCACAGAAGGCTTCTCAGAACAAGCACTACATAAGGTTTACAGCATGATCCTGATAGCAGATACTCATTATTTTTAGATTTTCAGAGTTTTGGCAGAGTATCTTATTTAGTCACCAAGATTCTCTTCTAGGACTCTGATACAGCGGTTTGAAGATTGTTTTCATCAAAAGCTAATAATAGCATTTTAGAACACTTTCTGCCTATCCCATTACTACCGCCCTTTCCAAAGCCCATAAAATCCATAGATCCCAATGTTTTTCACTGGAGAGCTCTGTTAGGATTGTCATTCATCTTTTCAGCATTTCAAAAGTAAAAGGCCTCAGATTACATAGATCCGCGTGGAGCCCTCTCAACTTTTCTCAGTTTCGTATGCATCAAAGCCTTCTGATGATCCTGCTAAGACCCTATCAGAATCGTCCTTCAAATAGCTTAACATAACTTGCCAAAAGCCTTATGAAATTTCACCGCCATCCTCTATGCAAATGTTTAGGAGATTCTTCGGCAGATCTGCATTCATCATTCAGATAATCATGTGATCAGATACTGTGACCTATAATGTGAAGAGCATCCTCAAAGATATATACTGAATTCCCAAGGTTTCCAAAAAACATAGAGATTAGGTTTGACATTTGTTGTTCAACGATTCGACATTCTCCTCACAGGATGCAAATAGAATCTTCTCTGGATATTTTCACTTTAGGAGTTTCACATAGTTCATTATTTTATTGCTTAAATTCTGGTCTGGTGTTCATATAAGTGATCATCCTGCAAAAAAATTCTGAATTCTCGCAATTTCAAATAAAATCCTCAGATCCCTAGTTTTTCTATCGAAAGCTTGCATGGAATTAGCATTGCTCTTTCTTCGAGGACCTCCTTACAGCAATCTCCAGGCGTAGCTTTTCGGGTTAAAAAGATCTTGGCAAAAACTAAAAGTGACATAGATGTAAGAATCGTTACGAAATCCTTTTTTCACATGGAAAACTAGAAAAAGGCTTCTGAATTTTTATCCGTGGAAAGAACATTTTCGAAAGTTTTACCAAATTCCCTTCGAAGAAGACGAATTTCTCCTTCATAGCTCTTTCCCCCGCCAGCAGTAGTCACGATCCAAAAGTTGGCAATTCAAGAAAATCAAGGAAATCAAGAAATTCCAGGAAATTCTAGAAAATCAAGGGATTTAACAAACATACATAAGGTACTGAGCTATAAGTCAAGAATATAATGGAATTCAAGCAATTCAAGAAATTCTAGAAATTCAAGCAATTTAACCAAGACACATATAGTAGCAAGTCATAGGCCTCAACTATGATGGAATTCAAGAAAATCAAGCAATTCAAGAAAATTTCTAGAATTTCTAGAATTGCTTGATTTTCTTGAATTCCAAGACAATCTCGACAGTGTGAGTGAAGGCATCCTCTTCGTAAACGGTATAGTGGAATTCAAGGAATTCAAGGAAATTTCTAGAATTGTTTGATTTTCTTGAATTCCATTGTAGTGTAAACTTATGAGCCAGCATTTTATGTCTTTCTTGAGTTTCTTGAATTTCTAGAATTTCTTGAATTGCCAATTTCTGGGTCGTGGTTATATCTCTCTCCCGCGAGGGAGAAGGATCTCTTCAACAACGACGATTCCTTTTCCTTTTCGTTCATTGTAGTAATTCCCAATATTCCAGCCAATGCCCGATGGGCACATAATGGAGTGACCGTTGCTGGAGGCCATGGAAAAGGCAATGCCACCAATCAACTCGACTGGCCTCTTGGTCTCTTCGTTGATGATGATCAAACGATGGTCATCGTTGACATGGGCAATCATCGTATCATCCAATGGAAGATGGGTGATACGAATGGACAAGTAGTGGCTGGTGGCCATGGCCGAGGAAATCGATTGGATCAATTGAATCAACCAAGCGATGTGTTGATCGACAAAGAGACGGATAGTCTCATTATTTGTGATACTAGACGAGTCGTACGATGGTCTCGTCGTAGTGGCACAACTCAAGGAGAAATCATCATCGACAACATCAGTTGTTGGGGATTGACCATGAATGATCAGAGATATCTCTACATTTCTGAAAACAAAAAAAATGAAGTAAGACGATATCAAATTGGAGATAAGAATGGAACTCTTGTGGCTGGTGGCAGTGGCGAAGGCATTAATCTCAATCAACTCAACTGGCCGACCTACGTGTTTGTCGATCAACAACAAACTGTCTACGTGTCAGATAACCACAATCATCGTGTGATGAAATGGAATAAAGGTGCAAAAGAAGGAATTATCGTAGCTGGGGGTCAAGGCGAAGGGAATACTCTGACACAATTATATCGTCCTAACGGATTGTTCGTCGACACATTGGGTACCATCTATGTGGCAGACGCGAGGAATCATCGAGTGATGCGTTGGCCTAAAGGAGCGAAGCAGGGCACTGTCATTGTGGGTGGAAATGGTCCAGGAGAAGGAGCAAATCAGTTCAACGGTCCCGTTGGTTTATCCTTCGATCGACATGGCAATCTCTATGTCGTCGATAATGGGAATCATCGTGTTCAACGATTTTCTATCGAATAAACTCATTACGATGGATTTTTATTCCTTTCTCTCAAATAAATCACGTTGATTGATGAAAAGAATGGCTATTCTATTCGCGCGCGCACGCGACCAGGAACCATCCTGGTGGAGTCGTGGCGAGCATAACGCTCATACACGCACCGGACAGACTCAAATCATTTATATCCCTCCAACTCAAGAGATATGTCAATGAGTCTGTGGAAGCCCGGTCGTGTGCCACGGACACCAAGATAGTTCCTGGCCCGGTTTTTAGGACCTACCCGGAAGACCTCAAAGAAACCAGAGATCTAACCTCAATGGACATGATTCACCCCTTCTCCTACTAACGCTCACTTTTCTGAGGCTCACACTAACTTTACTCATTCTCACTGTCATTATCTAACCTCATCCCCCTCGTACCCTATTCTTGTCTCGAAAAAGAAATTACTCACATGCTTTGATGTTGGACGATGGGGTGGGTGTGGGTGTGGGTCTGACTTTTTATTTCATCTACGCCCACACCCACACCCTTCATATCTCATGAGGCAAACTCATATTTGGAAATTATGATAGCAAAATCTTTAATAGATTTATTGCTTTTATCGTTTTCATTTAGCTTTTCGGTTGTTACATTAACGTTTGTTATTCATTTTCATGATAGTATCTGCATTATCTCAAAAAATGTAGAATAAGAATCAAACATATTCAACGAAAATGCTTTGATATATCTGAAGTATGAGAATCGAAACGACTACGTCCGACGATTAGGATAATTGACTTTTTAGAAATATCAATCTTGAAAGGACAGATCATAAACCATCCTTGATTTTCATTACAACATAATCTATCCGAGATAAAATTTTACAAATAATAAAATCAAGTAATCTCCGAGTAATCTTATGCCTGAAATACTTACGCTTCTGATTAAAGGGTCGATACGTACTAAAGGCATAAGATAGTCTAAATTACTTAAAGATCGCTTGATTCTATTATCAAACCATTCCTCGTGAAATTTTGCCTCTAGTCGAATTTTTTTCAATGAAAACCAAAAATGATTTAAAATCTATCTTCAAACGCTCCCTATTCTTTCTTAAAATGAGCTGATTTTCAACTTTTATTCGAGTTTCTTAAATACATCACATGTGCACATACAACAGAGACTAAATCAAAAACAGACAATGTGACGGAATACTCAAGCATATATAAATGAGAATGAATCACTACAAAGATGCATGCTCTAACGATCACACATCTATATTTTTAGCATTCGATATCTATGCTTCATATTCGCTCTTCTTATTGATATTAATATTTTTGAATGTAAAACAACAATCAGGAGCTTTATCACCTACAGTTTTCTGTTTAGATGAATTGACATATTTCAATGATGTCAAAGAATTATAACGACGAAATAATTCCGTTATTGATTGATTAAATAGTTCTTGAATTTCACATTCTGAAAATTTCTTATTTGATTTCAAAATATTAAAATAGTTTTGGAAAATATTAATCATATCATCATTAACATTATTATTATCATCTACTAAAGATGTAATATTGAATAATTTTATACTAGATTGTACACAATCACTGTAAAAACCACTATTAGACAATGCTAAATACAATTTTCTATCGATTCTTGATGAATATCGATTATCTTCAGTTTTCATTTGCTTAATTCGTTTGTTTTCTTCTGCTTTCATTTCCTGTTCAACCTTTAATCGTTTCAGTGTTGTTTCTTCTAATATTCTGTTTGCATCTGCTGTTTTTTGTTTTTCTTTTTCGGCAGCTTGTGTTTCTTTTTGAGCAGCTTGTGTTTCTTTTTGAGCAGCTAGTATTTTTCTTTGAGTAGCTTGTGTTTCTTGTTGAAGTTTTATCATTAATGTCAATTGTTCAGGAGTTGCTGTAAAGATATTTTCATCCATAGTTTTTGTAATTTGTTATTTATCTACAAAAAACAAGAAAAAGAATTATTATAAAAATATTGAAATTACACATTAATTTGACATGCCCTGTATAAATATCCTATCGAAGTTACACTGGTCAAAGAAGTTAATATTGATTCATTAATTAATAAATAATTCACTTCATTGAAGATGTTATTGTTGAATGAAGTAAATTATATATTGATTGATGAATCAATATTAATTTCGTCGACTGGTGTAACTTCGATATGACACATCTATAAATAAATATAAAGAAAGAAAGTAACCATTGTGTTCCAATGATATTCGAGTGATTTATTCTCCATATAGATAACATTGGAAAAGAGGACGTTAGATAATGATCGTTGTAATCGTCTTCCCAGGTCGATGATTCCAGTCAACGGATCCCACCGGAATCTGCAGGAACCGGCCCATTTTCCGGCTAATTCCCGCCGGTTCCCGTGCAATTCCTGCCGGAACCGACCGGAAAAATACTGGAAAGGGGGGCAGTATTCCGGCCGGAAAGTCATCGTACCAGGAACCGCTCAATTACAAAGCTTTTCCATTCACCGGAAAACGTTGGATAATCCATCGTATCCATCACGGAACACACCGGAAACACACCATAGCCATCACGGAAACACATCGTATCCATCACGGAATACACCAGAAACATACCATATCCATCACGGAATACACCGGAACCATAACGTACCCATCACGGAACACAACGTATCCAACACGGAACACACAGTATCCATCGCGGAATACACCGGAAACATACCGTATCCACCATGTAAGGGAGACCATGCCTCAAAAGGAGTCATCCAGACAAAGGAAAACCGTACTCCGAGGACATCGAACTTTCTTTTTCTTCAGAATGAACCCTAGCACATGGTGCACCCGTATTCATAGGGGACACCATGTCTCAAAAGGAGTCATCGAGCGGTAGGGAAATCCTCCTCCGAGGACTTCGAACTTTCCTTTCTATTTCCTAATGAACACTAGCACCTCGTCCGCCCGTATTTATAGCGGATATCATGATCCAAAGAAAGTCATACAGAGGTAGGAAAATCGTCCTCCGAGGACTTCGAACTTTGTTTTTTTTCAGAATGAACCCTAACACATGGTGCACCCTTATTTGTAGTGGAGACCATGTCTGAAAGAGAGTCCTCGAGAGGTAGGAAAATCGTCCTTCGAGGACTTCGAACTTTGCTTTTTTTTCAGAGTGAACCCTAGCCCCTGGTGCAGCCCTATTTATAGTGGAGACGATGTCTGAAACAGAGTCCTCGAGAGGTAGGAAAATCGTCATCCTAGGACTTCGAACTTTGTTTTTTTTTCAGAGTGAACCCTAACACCTGGTGCACCCTTATTTATACTGTAGACCATGTCTTAAAAAGAATGATCGAGAGGTAGGGAAAGCGTCCTCCGAGGACTTCGAACTTTGTTTTTTTTTCAGAATGGACCCCAGCACATTGTGAACCCTAGATATAGTGGAGACCATGTCTCAAAACGAGTCATCGAGAGGTAAGAAAATCGTCCTCGTGAGACTTCGAACTTTGTTTTGTTTGAACTTACCATAACTGGTTTCTCCGTGGAAAGTTTTCTACGGCGTGGTGCGCCTCTATTTATAGTGGGACGATGTCTGAAAAAGTGTCATGTAGAGATAGGAAAAGCGTCCTCGTGAGACGCCGAACTTTGTTTTTTTGAACTCACCGCTAACGGGTTTCTCTCTGGAATGAAGTCTAGCACGTGGTACAGTCCTATTTATGGGAGTGTCCATGTCTCAGAATGACCGACTGTGATGTATGGAAATTGTCTCGTGAGAGTTCGCACTTGGTTTGTTTTTCATCTTATGTCTGAGTCGGTCTTGACAAGAATGAGCTCCATGACCTCGTACAGTGCTACTGAAATGAGAGATTATGCCTGAGAAAGGGTTATTGAGGCGTATTTTAAGCGTCTTTTTTGGGACCTCAAAATTTTTTTCGTTTTCGCTTAACTGTAGCTCGTCAGCGACCGGGATGAACTCTAGGATGTCGTGTAAGGCTGCTCGTAGTCGAGGCCGCTTGTCAACAACAAAGGCAATTGGAGTTGATGGTAGATTTCCAAGTGCGCTGAGTTTTATGTGATTACCGGCGAGAAGGGAAGCATCCCACATGACTTGTTCCTTATTCAAAAACTGACTGGAGACGTTTAACTTTTCAGCCGATAACTGGCATATCGATACGCGATATAATTTATAATGATCGAAACCTTAGTGCCTCATACTGTGCTATGGCACATATTTTGATGGCGCAAATACCCTGGTGTTCTTTTTGTGTTAGATCCTTTCTAGCATCGGTAGTCTTATCTCTTTGTTGTTTGATATTCTTCAGGACCTATGGGCACGCTATATGACAGCCCTTGAGGATCCATGGGTGCCTTCATATAATAGTCCTTAAGAGCCTATGGGTACCTGTGTAGGGTAGGACATCAAGATGTCTGGGAGCCTTCATATAATAGCCCTTGAGGACCTATAGGTATTTCGATAGTATAGCCCATGGGGATCTTTGGGAACCTCCGTATAATAGCTCTAGAGCACCTGTAGGCGCCTGCAGATAATAGCCCTTGTGGACCTATGGGTACCTCCATATAATAGTCCTAGAGGACCTATGGATACCTCCATATAATAGCTCTTGATGCCCTATGGGTACTTCTATAGAATAGCCTTTGAGGACTTATGGGTACCTGCATAGGATAGCTCATGAGTACTTATGGGTACGTCCATAGGATAACCCATGAGTAGGATGTGGGGGTGGGTGTGAGTCTTGCTGAAAAGTTGAATCCATTCAATTGGAACTAGCGGGATCCGAGTCCTATCTTGTCGTATCCTGTGATCGGATCCGAACTCCATAGCGAAAATGCAAACGGCTGGATCTGGGCTTCGTAACCATACCGGAAACGATAGTTTATGGCTCGTATCCTGTCGCCGTCATAAGTCGCTGGAACCAGGCGCGGGACCCACACCGGAAACGACAGTTTATGGCTCGTATCCTTGCCGCCGTCATAAGTCGCTGGAACCAGGCGCGGGAACCATACCGGAAACAGGGATCTGTATCCGGCCATCTTTTTCGGACTCCGGAACTGACGGGAATTAAGTAGGAAACGGAAGCCGGAACCGATTTGGGAATACTGCCACCCTGAAATAGCCGGAATTTCACCGGATCAGGCGGTTTCCCGCCGTACATCTTGGACCTGGGTTTTAATAAAATATTCATGAAATGACAATAGAAAATTGTTATTATAATTATGCGAGATATATTTTAATTAACTAATCATATTTTATCGAAAGAATTATATTCGATCTTAAATTAATATATGTTTCAATATTATTAGAATTATACTGATTGATTTTTACAATAAAAAAAACAAAATTGTGTAAGATATTCTTGACTTAATTTTTCTTATCGCTTTTTCTTTAGTTTTCGATAGGAACCTTGAAACATTTTCATAATAACTAAAGGGTGTCAAATAAGTTCTGATCATGTTATCAAATTTTTTGTTTCCTACATGTTTCTGCATTCGAAGAGACTATTATTTTCAGTATTTATACTAGATGTCTAGATCTATCCTACACTAGAATTTCACTTTTCTACTCATTTCTATTACAGTAATACAAGCATCACTAAAAGTAAGAAAAAAAAATTGACGTATTATAAGAAATATCTAATTATCTTTAATTCTTGATTCTAATGCAACATGAATATTCTATTCAAAAAGACAATTATAACTCGAAATTCAATTTATCTAGTAACGAAAAAGCTGCTGAACATCGATCTGCTATAAACTGGATGCAATTTTTCTCATCCATAATTGTTGAAAAATTCTTATTATTTTTGACGATGCTTGTATCACTGTAATAGAAATAATTAGAAACGCGAAATTTTAGTATAGAATAGATCTAAACATCTTGTATAAATACTGAAAATATCAGTCTCTTCAAATGGAGAAACGTGTAAGAAAAAAAATATTTGATGACAGGATCAGAACTTATGTGACACCCTTTATATATATAACTTTCATCAAACATACAAAAATAAATCTTTTTTTGTATTTTGAAAAATTTCACAGTATAATTTCATACATAACAAAAAGAAAGTTCATCTAAATAATAGATTATAACAAAACTAAAAATCTATCGTAATTCCTTCTATCTAATGCGAATAAGAATTTTATGTTGTATACGATATTGAATATCACCACGACGTATCATTGCATGAAGAACTTTATAAATAGTACGTTCAGAATAATTCTAAAAAAAAACGTTTTTTTTTGTTTTAATGAAATTCAATTTAAATTTTTATTTTACTTGTTGAATAAAATCTTGAACAATAGCAAGTTCAGATACTTGTGAACCAATAATAAATCGACGTCGGATTTGTTTTTCAATACGTGTAATTTCTTTTTGATCGTCAAATGTTATAAAACCTTCATACCTAATCAATTAAAATGAAAATATTACGATTGTTTTTTTTTGGAGAAATGTACCAGTTAAATTTCCAGAACTAGCTGATGCAAATGTTGAAACATGAAATAATCGAAGAGCTTCATCAACAAATGATGATAAACGCATTTTAGCCAAACTTTCAGCAATACGAATTATTGATCTATGGTCTTGAGAAAATATCGTGAACAGAAGTTTTTTTTGCTTATTTATAGGTCTTGAAGGTTATTTACTCATCGGGATCGTGTCTGTAAGCGATCTTCTGAGTGTTTTCATGGTGATGATGAATCGGTACAAATATCATAGTGAGAATTAGCGCGATTGTACATGCATATTTGTCAAAAGGATTAAATGCTCACACATAATTATAATGGTGTCTATTAGCGAAAAAAAATGATTGAGAAAGTTCATCTCTCATTTCCAGTGTTCCCTTGCGAATTTTATGATTATTTTTCGATAGAATTCTGCCTCTAGATATGCTGTTTATATGCTCCAAATATGAGGCCATTTGCTTGAGTATTTGAATACCTAGACATGTGACAACATCTACATCTTTAGCATAGTGCCAGTTCCCTCCAGTTAGTGAAATAAGTCTGAAAATTTTAGGGAATGCTGCATATTAATAGAGTATTCTATACTATAAATTTCAGGTCTATATATCGATTCCAGACTGAAATGTGACGAACACATTGCTTACTGACGGTTTGTCATGTCACCCATGTCTTTAGTAAAATGCGTCTAGTTTAACAAAGGTTCAATGAATGTTGATGAAATTTTCATCAGAGATAGCTATTATATAGAGCTTTAAAATGGCGAAAGCCCGAGTTCAAAGGACTTTGTTATTGCCAAGTTTTAGAGTCTACAATGATTATGGACGGTTTGGCTAATAACTCTCTTATGACTCGTTCTTTTGGGTTGCGGGTTTCACCGCTGATCTACATTTATCGAGTATCATATAAACTGTAATTTTCAGCGCGACAGCTCGTATAATAGTTGAGATCGAACGGGGCGGATACTTTTGCCCAGCACTGTATTTCTAGTTATATGCATAGAAAAAAGAAAAATATTTGTATAGGTGAACCATGAGGAGAAATGGCGCATCAACAGTGTAGAATAATATCCGAAAGGAAAACTTGCATGCAGAAAAGAAAATTAAAAAAAAACACGTCTTCATTTGCACAAATACGTTGTTGAACTAAGACTGCGTTTCTACAGGATATGTATAAAAAGTGTTACACAGCGTGTAGAAGAACCCGACAAATTGTGAAATAAATGAACGAATATATGATTTCATATCATTTTAAATTCATAACTAATCATTAAGATGAATTTTAGAAAGAGCATATTTGTGATCAACTAGAACAACATAAAGCAATTGACTTTGAATTAATGTAGTGATTTATCAGTCTTTTTATTAAACCTCTGCAGCAGATATTAAACTAATTAGTAGAATGACAGTTTGAAAAGTAATAATTCAAAGAATGGATGAGTTTTATATGTGATAAAATATACTCCTGTAGAAAGATCGATTGTTATTATAATACTTGGTAATATGGACATGATATAGGTGACAGGCAAACTAAACGATCATGCTTCCAATGATGAAAGAATTTTGAACATGATCGAAATTAATCAAAAAATATTATTTCTCTCACTGGAAGTTTATTACTTAGATAGTTATCTAATTGTCGAGAATGTGTTTTTAGCATTTCTTGTCGTTTATATTACAGTAAAAACAAAAACTGCGACAGATAATATATTTTCGGAAAGCACAAGTCATTAGTCCTTAGTTGACTCGTTCTTCAATACACTCTACACCTAGCAAGCAGAAGATGTCAACGAATTCTAGAAAAAGAATTCTACAGAGACTCAAGCTTTCAAAGTAGCTTTCTACCATCAATTGAAGAAAATTTTGTTTTTTTTTTTCAAAAATCTGAAATTTTGATAATTTCATAAAACATCAGTGTTCATGATTATTTGAATCATATAGCAAAAAGAGATGTACCATTTCTAACTTCTACTAGAGGTTATGACAGAGACGTCATCATGCTACTTCTTCGAACATGTCATAGATCATGATCAATATAGAGAGAACCTTAATGTACATTCTAAGATCTTCCGTTTTTTTTCGAATTTTAATTACTTAGTAATTGTGCTGAAGGTTTTCATAATCGATGAGGTGCCAAAATCTACACAAGATATACATTCTAACATAAAAGCAGGAATCCAAGAGTAGTCGTAGTCGCTTGGATTCAAATGAGACAATTTAGAAATAAGTTATCTATTAAACGACTTTTCAGTGAACGGATAGTACATAAATTCTCCGTTTTGGGTGTGTGGGTGTGGGGGTGGGGATGGGGGTGGCTGTCAGTACGCATGTGATTATGCGTGTAGATCTACTCTCCATGCTTCCGATCACTTACACCCACACGCGCACGCACACCAACACTCACACACCACACCCTCACTCACACACCCACACCCTTTGTCTAATTTGTATCAATACGATGTATGACCAAAGTTTAAGAAACAAATAAGGTTTTATAGTTAAAGAAAAAGAATTCATTAGACATTGAAACAACTTGATATTAATATTTTCTAGAAGATAATAAAAGAGTTTTCGAACAAAAAAAAGAAAAAATAAAGACAAAGCACTAACTTTGGTGCTTTGATTATATAACCTAGTATATTTGTAATATGAGTTTTCTGTTTCAATAAAAATCAGATAGGAACCATCTGTACAACAGATGTAACATGAATTTCAATTTTTTCAAAATATTTGTTGAATACTTGTTTAATCTCATATTAACCTGTTGAGGGCGAAGCCCGTATATATACGGGCTCAAACTTTGAATGGGTTAGTAAAGGGATTACTCGCTAGTTCCATCTATAGTATATAGTGATAACTTGATGAAGCTCACTAGTGATATCCTACAAGCGCTAGGATATCTTTCGTAAGGCACCATCATTGATTGATGTCGATCTGTACAGAACTGTAAACCAAGTAGACTTATTGCTCGACATTTTCCTTCTTTTATACTTCAAACAACGGAAAGAAAAAATCCTCAGAAACAATGTGTTGTATGTGCACATCCTAATATAAGACCTAAAAAGAGAACAGATTCATGTTATATGTGTAAAGATTGTGATGTGGGTCTTTGCGTAATTGGTTGCTTCGAAGAATTTCATACGTTGATAAACTTTTAGTTTTTTTTTTCTTCCTACGCTTTTTCCATTTCAAAATAAACCAGCTGAATGTTTTAAATGACGTCTATGGGCAATAATTATGACCATTAATGACTTTGAAAATATAATTAATTTTGGCAACACAATTTCATTTTTTATGAAAATAATAAGTCCGCTCCCAAGAGGTTAATGAACATTCCTTAGAATACTATTCAAGTCTGTAAATTTTTTACTCTGAAGTCTCAAATGATTACTTAATCAATGTTTAATATCATGAATGACGATTACGATTGAGTAGAAAAGCATGAGTTGTAGTAAAATTACATCATTTGAGAACAGGTTCGTTTCTCATGGTACTATTGATCTATACACAAAGATTTTCACATGATTGATGTTCTTTATTTTATGAAATCTCAATATTTATTAATAGCAGCATTCACATAGAAGAACAATTAATAGAACATTTTTGCAGTTATTTCGAAAACGCTTTCAATCAAATTATAATCGTATAGTGTTTTTTATTTATCTTTACTTGCTAACACTTTCTCTACGGATGATATCATTATTACTAATATCATAAAATATATATACAAGTGCCGGTTATGAGTTTGCATAAGTATACAGGACGATTCATTTATTTTTACTATTTTTCTTCAGTTTATTGTATTTCTATAAAACGTCAGAAATTTTTTTATTTCTGTATGATTAGATAGAACATTGATTATTTTATCTAACAGCATAGTTTTCATTTATTTTATCACATATCTTGATTAAAAAATTTTAAAAATTCTAAAACTAGCTAAAAAAAAACTTTTGTAAACGTATACTTTACTCAGATCAAATTCGATTGCCGTGAAATTAGCCTTAAATGGAAGAGATCGTTCTAATTTAAAGTTGCACCAAGTATTGAATGAAATTGTTTTGAATTCGAGAAAAAAATAAAATTCTACTACTGAAATTTTAGACACTTTCGCACTTCATTTCCGATGTTATTCATATAATCTCAAATTTAGCTATAAGAGTTTATAATTAAATCAGGCTAAAATTGCATCAATCAATAGAGAAACTATTGCTCTATCGAACTGTATATTAATGGAAAAGATTGATATAGCTAGACGACTAGAATTTACTTGATAAAGACAAATAATTAAACTTTTGTCAAAAAAATTTGTTAAACATTCACTAAATTTTCCGTCAAAGTGGAAAATAAATTAATAAAAAAAAAATCTATAGTTCGATAGAGAAATGAATTCTCTATCTAACTATATAAAAACGAAATATATTCATTTGTCCAATAGGTTATAATTACTTGAATTACTCGAAGAAAACATCTCGAAATTCTACAGAAAAAACAATTTTTTTTGTCTGCTTCACGAAACTTACTCATTTTTAACCAACACATTAGATAAATCAAATGAAAACTATACCGTTGGATAGAGTTATCAATGCTCTATCTAAGCATATAGAAATAAAACATTTCTAACGTTTTCTAGAAATAAAATAAACTGAAGATAAATAGTAAAAATAAGTGAATCATCCTGTGTAACTATAGATTCGAACAAAAGAACCCGCTTGAAAACAAATATTGATAGATGCGTTTATTCCATTTTCTATCGATAAATACGTAAAATATCAAAGTGACAAAGCATAGGATATGGAACGTTATTTTATTCAATCTGTTTTGACTAATAAAATTTTCTTTCCACGTTACTAGAAAGAGTATGTATCATAAATCATAAAAAATTATGTTTTATTATTTTTTTCATTACTGTGAGTAATTATTGAGTTAATATTGATGATTATCAGTCTGACTCTTCTTACAAGAATCTGTTCGTTTCAACTAATCAATATGTTGTTTTATAAAGTTTACAAAATAGTTTATCCAGAATTAATCCTTGTATGGAATTATAATCGAAATGATTTCTTGCTTACAAAATAACTTACTAATAAAAATATTATGACACATTCTGGATAAAACACGTTTTATAATGTTAGTGTATGACGTCAAACAAAGATAGATTATATTTATAGTACCATCGATCATTCAAATTAATTTCAGCGGATATGAATTACTGAAAACTTGCACACAACTGAAGTATGTGCTGAAATACTTCTCTATATGGATAAGAATATTGGAAGATCAAAAAACATGTTCAGATATGCATGTGTGCAAACACATGACATAAATGTTTGTCTAGAAAATATTATTGCATTCTTTCTTCCTTAAATATCACATTTTTAAAGGAATGAGTGTTATTTGTGAAGAAATCAAATCTAAGAAAATATGCCTGAAGAACGGTCACAACCATCGACTATTTCGACAAACACCAATAAGAGGTTCGTATCAATAAATAGATCATTATATAAATGATTGACTCATTTCATGTTTAGACGTTTTATTTTAATCATCCTTGCAATTATTATTGGAGTGTGTATTGTAACAACGGCTATTGTCGTACCTATCATTTTAACTAGACGAACTAATACAACTGGTATGTTGTTATTGAAAAATCAGAAATAAATGATGATGTTCTTATCGAAAGAGAGAATCGTGGCAGCTTAGCACTTTTTTTCAGCATCTACAAGATGTTGAGATGCCGAATCAATAGAAAATGCTATAATTGATAATCGAATATTGAAAGAAACTGAAGAAATTAAGTCAAGGATTGATGATAAATTCCTATATATGAAAATACTGTAGTGGCTACATATGTTGCTGTTATGGTTTCTCCATTTCTAAGTGATCGTTCTAGCAATAAGTAGTTATTTTCATTATGAGGGCTCCATGAGAAAAACGAGCATTCAATCAGAGAACTATAATATTATAATCAATTAGGAAATTTTAATTTTGATACATTCATTCAATAAGTTGTGTTGAGAAACTGTAACAGCTCAAGTTTTAGATAAAAAAAAAAGTTTCTTTTGAAGTCAGTATGATCTTTCGCTGTACAAGTGATATTTTACTGATTTCTCAAGAGTAAGTCGTGCTCTCTTCCTTCTCTTTTTTTGTCATTTATTGAAATATAGTTTTGAATAAGTTTTCATTAGAAGGAACGAAAACACTGAACAATATGAGACCTGTCCGAATTCCGAACTCTTGAGGAATTCTTGAACTCAAAAATTATTTAACACGCACGGGCGCTAAGACGGATCCCAAAGAATTCGAGGATCCCAAGGAACTCAAGGATCCCAAGAAACTCAAGGCTCCCAAGGAAGTCAAGGATCCCAAGAAATTCAAGGATCCCAAGGAACTCAAGGATCCTATTGGACATATTGAAGATATAAGAGATATAGCAGATATTGAAGATATAGAGATGTAGGAGGCACAGTAAACAGTTATTTATTTTTTATGATTGATTTTCTCCAGCAAGTGTCGGAAAGTTAAATGAATATATCTGAATGAATTGCTATCCAAAGTTAAGCGCTACATAAAGATTACCTGCACTACTTAATCAATATCTCGAATATCTCCAATCTCCTTTATATCTCCAATATCACTATACCTCTTAAATCTCCTGCATCTCCAATATCAACTATATCTCCTATGTCTATATTGAATTGAGTTTCTGCGCAAACTCTCCGGAGACATCATATGTGCCCCGTCTCTCATATAAAAGGTCAGTTCGACCGAGAAAAGTTCTTATCATTCGGTGACTATTCATGTGATTACTGGATAGTTCATTCACGTTTCAGGTTTGACACGTATGACGTTGGCAGAGACACTGTATGAGTTCCTTCGTGGCACCCACATGGAGACACATGCGGGATATTTTACTATGTGGATGAAATTTGGAATTTGATAGTTCAAAGTTGGAACTACAAAGCTTAGTTGAAACCAAGTTTCAAGGATTACATCTATGTTCACGGCATCCACACCAACTGCCATGTGATGTGTATTGTATTATGGCCACTCCTATCGCGATCAGTGCCTTCGCGGCACCCACAGCAGTTACTATGTGACGTGTGTCGCAGTGCGACAAGTCCATTCGTGGTCACTCCTTTTCGGACCAGCCCTTCGGCGGCACCCACACTAGCAGCTCTGTGATCTGTGTCGTAGTGTGGCCAGTCCTTTCGCGGCACCTACAATAGCTGCGATGATATGTGCGTGAGTTTGTGCGTCAGCCGTTCCTGTCGGAACTCCTAGGAACTTGAAGGTTGAAACTTGAACACTCAATTGAATTCAAGTTTCAAGGTTTACAAATATATCTAATGTGTGCCTTGTCGTAGAGTGACTGGTGACATTTTATTAAGACAGATTTATATCTTAGGACTGATTCTAGGTTTTTCCGAGACGACAAGAGTAGACATATATATCTTTTACATCTTCTATAAGGAAAAAGCCTGGTAGCTCATACTGCTTCGTGTGTGTTCCCTGGTGAAAGATCATAGATCAAAGATCAATCCACCATCCTGCTCCTATATCTTCAATATCTGCTATATCTCCAATATCTGCTATATCTCGAATATCTTCAATATCTCCAATATCTCTAATAGGACCCTTCAGATCCTTGAATTCCTTAAGATCCTAGAGTTCCTTGTGATCCTTGAATTCCTTCGGATCCTTGAGATCCTTGGGATCCTTGCATTCCTTGGGTTTCTTGGGATCCTTGAGTTCCTTGAGATCCTTGGGATCCTTGAGTTCCTTGGGATCGTTGAATTCCTTCGGTTCCTTGAGATCCTTGAGTTCCTTGAGATCCTTGGGATCCTTGAGTTCTATGAGTTTCTTGGGATCCGTGAGTTGCTTGAATTGCTTGGGCTCCTTTGGATGCTTGTGTTCCTTGAGATCCTTGGGATCCTTCAGTTCCGTGAATTGCTTAGTTTCGTTGGGATCCTTCAGTTCCTTGAATTCCTTAGTGTCGTTGGGATCCTTGTGTTCCTTGGGTTCCTTGGGTTCCTTAAATTCGTTGTGATCCTTGAATTTGTTTACGCCACCTTATGCTGCGGCTTCTTAGTGCCCGTACGTATTATATTATTTTTGAGTTCAAGAATTCCTCAAGAGTTCGGAGTTCATGGAAGTCGGACACTACTGAATATAGTACATAATGTCTTGATTTTTCCATGAAATAGCTTCGAATGGTATCTTTTACTTGCACCAAGACTATCTTCCCTTTATTCTATCAACAATGGCAAGTAGGGCAACTGATCATACGTCAAAGTTTATTGCATTCTGGTAGTCCATACCATAGAAAATGAATGGAATGAACGACTCTGTACAAAGAGACCGAAGATTCAAATGATTTCTTGCATATTATTTTTCCAATTCCGTACAAAATTATAAAAGACTTTGATGTTTCTGATTTGCCTTAGTATGGCCAATATAATTATAAACCAAATAGAAAAACTTCAGAATGTACTAAGGCTCTCTCGTCAAATATTATGTTGTTAAGTGATATATTTATTTTAATGCCTTTTCTCTTTTAACGTAATAGTATCAATTTCAACAATAACAACGGCAACAACAGCAGTAACTACGGCAACAACAGCAGTAACAACGGCAACAACAGCAGTAACTACGGCAACAACGGCAGTAACAACGGCAACAACAGCAGTAACAACAGCAGCAACAGCAGTAACAACAGCAGCAATAACATTTATCACAACCACAATTACAACAACGAAGAATCTGTCATGTAAGCTTTTTCTTGTTTGATATTAGACTCTGGCAAAAATTAGAGAATCATCCCGTTCTTTCAATTTGATTGATGATCCCAGATCAATTTGCAACCTAGAGCAGGCAAAAGTTTTGAACCAAATGCACTCAAGCACTTTGTATAGTAGTGATTGAACAAAGATTTTGAGCTTGGTAGAGTGGATAAGGAAGCTGATTAGTTCCAATTTTTTTTGATTCGTACAGATTGCACTCTTTCTTGTATTTATGAATATTTAGAGAGGCAAAGCAATTGATAATGGTTACAAGTATAGCACCCAAACGAGAAAATTTCATATTTTATTAGTACTTTATCGCATTTCATACCACTCCAAGGATATATCAATGTTATCCTCCAGAGCTCTTCAGCTATTTCCAATCTATTATCAACATATGTTACGTAATACTAGTAGTATGAGCTCATTTCAAATAAACTTCTCTGACAAAAAAAACTCAAATATTTGATTGCACTGCAGATATTGAACATCAGTGAAGTACAACCAAGTATTTAATGTTACTACCATAGAAACTTATATAAAATGAACTCAAACTAATTAATTAGCTCATAGCATACGCTGATAATAGATTGGAAATAGATAAATATTCTTTAGAATATATTGAACACACTTTTTGAGTACGTTAAAGTACAGTAGAGGTGCGATATTTTCATTTTTTCTCCTGAGTCAGTAACATGAAAAATAATACATTCGAAAGGAATACTTTCAATTTGATATTCAACTATTCCGATAGAAACCGTTGTTCAGACTTCTTGCTCTCATGCTCCGATGCATCTTTGAGAACTTTCACTGGCAAAAACTTTTCATTGGAATATCTTATTCTCGAAATTCAGCAAATGACTTGAATGACACAGTTAAGCTATCCTCAAGAAGTAAGTTTGAACATTAGTTGTATAGCTTTTGATTTTTCTAGCAAATTTTGTCTAAAAGCCAAATTATTTTAACAAAGATGGATGGAGTCTAACAAAGTCTATCAAATTCTATTCCAAGCAGTGTCTCATTCGATTAATAAATGGAAAATGAAGAGATTATAGTAGCAATTTAAAATATTGTTGTGTCTTAGTCGAGATATGATTGTTTTTTTTTTGATATCTTTTAAGAATAATAGATTCAAAATCGAACAATCTTTTACTTTCATAAAAATCCGCGCGACTATTTTGACTCAGAAGGGTGTGGAAGTGGGGGTGTGTGATTGGGTTTGGGTATAGATTATAAGAAGAGTAACACTGAGACCCACACCCACATCCCACACCCCACGCCCACACCCACATCCTTTTTGAGTATAAAGAACTGTGTTTTCAAAAAATCAGTATTCAAAGTTATGTTGAGATTTTGGTACAACAACAATACAACTCGATTTTTGATGTCTTATGGAAGTATGGTAGTATAACATTGGAAAAAAGTGGGCTTTGTTCTTGAAAAGTTGCGTACACAAAAGATATCCGCAATATAAATCCACTGATGTGTAACTTTCTGATCGAGCTATAGATTAATTATTATACAGTTGCAATGACTTCGAAGATACAAGCAGATTATGTCGTAAAAAAAGAATGTAAAAAGGTCTTATGCCTCCAGTGACGCTACTGTACGAGCTTGAAAGCTTGGTACAAGTCCAAACGATAATTATTGCGTCTTTTTATTAGTAGTTCTGTGTGTTTCCGGAACAGAGATAATTTCTGCTTTTGCTTTTGTGAAACACGATCTGAAAGGAGTGTTGAAGTATACAGGGTAGAAATTCGCACCTACCCCTCCCCCACGGACCGTGACAGATGTTTTTGATAGACGACTAGCGATCACATATCACTAGCAGGGTACAGTGTAGTATAGCCCCTCCATTATAGAAATTAATACTTCAGAGTATGGGTGTTCATCATAACTTCATTTACATCCGCACTCATACTACACCGGTCAAAACCTCACTCTACAGACTTATTTCACACTCTTACTCTACGTTAATGCAATATTTGCTTATAGTTCGATATTTCAGGCTTATCAGATCATAAAGAACACCTATAACAGGTAGAGAGGAGGCTATACTAAACTGTACCCCTACATCCTCTTGAATCTTAAGAACGCCATCACCTATGGGTCAAGCTACTTCAAAAATAAAATAGTTGTGCAGATGTAATGCCTAACATATGATTGAATGCAACCTTCAGAAAAATACGAGACAACTGTTGTTCATAGGGTTTTAGCATAGCAAAAATAACTTCAGGACAGTGTGTGTGTGGATGCGGGTGTGAGTGAAGCAGAAAGCAATACCCGCAATTCACACCTACACTCTTAGAGGGTATTTGAATGTACATGATATTGTGTAAAACACAAGGGGGAAACAGCGGACTTCAAGACTTCAAGACTTCAAAAGACTTCAAAAGACTTCAACAGACTTCAACCGCAGTGACTTCATATTTTCACAAGACTTCAAAAGAGTTCTAAAGAGTTCTGAAGACTTCATAGGACTCCAAATGACTTCACAAGACTTTATAAGACTTCGTATGACTTCATGAGACTTCATGAGACTTCATGGGACTTCAAAAGACTTCGTTAGACTTCACAGACTTCGTGAGACTTCACGGACTTCATGAGACTTCACGGATTTCATGAGACTTCAGAGACTTTGTAGGACTTCTTGAGACTTTATAAGACTTCATAAGACTTCACAAGACTTCATAAAACTTCACAAGACTTCAAGAGACTTCACAAGACTTCAAGAGACTTCAAGAGACTTCATGAGACTTCATGAGACTTCATGAGACTTCATTAGAATTCATTAGAATTCAAGAGACTTCAAGAGACTTCATGAGGCTTTATGAGACTTCATTAGACTTCATGAGACTTCATTAGACTTCATGAGACTTCACAAGACTTCACAAGACTTCACAAGACTTCACAGGACTTCAAGAGGCAGATTCCATGCGTATCAAAAAACCTTATAGAAATTACATGAAACTTCTATAACATGCAAAAAACAAAACTTATCATATAGAGATTACAAAAGTGTTTCTTGTTTCTGAGAATTGTTTCTCGCAGTATATCCATATCTAGAATAAAGATGTGACAATGACACAAAGCGTTGATGAAATTAAAACAGAGAAAATAAACTTTACTGGTATGCGTATGTTTGATTCGATTAATCCAGCACTGGAAAACTCCTATTTTCAGGTGCAAATAAATAACAAGACTAAATTTATACACAAGCAAACGACTTGTTGGTTATTGACCGACGAAGCTAGCCGTTTATCGGCTGATAGATTATCACGAGTGATAGAAATAAACAAAAAGGAATAAAATTCTTCATAAGATTGACATCGAATAAATGAAACATTTCTTATAGAAATAAACCACTTCATTCAAAAAGCATTCAGTTCTTAACTATCATGTTTTCTAAGATCCAACAAACTTGAATTTTTTCCAGTACCTTGACAAACAAACAATAAAAAGTTCACCTTTCTGCTAAAATAAAACCGTCGAAAACAAGACAATTTCATTGCTTTTTTATGAATTTTCATGCACTAAATGTATTTCAAAACTTCCATAAGAATTCATGAGACTTCATTAGACTTCAAAAGACTTCAAGAGACTTCAAGAGACTTCATAAGACTTCATGAGACTTCATTAGAATTCAAGAGACTTCAAGAGACTTCATTAGACTTCATGAGACTTTATTAGACTTCATGAGACTTCGTGAGACTTCATTAGACTTCATGAGACTTCATGAGACTTCATAAGACTTCATAAGACTTCATAAGACTTTATGAGACTTCAGAAGACTTTATGAGACTTCAGAGACTTCAAGAGACTTTATGAGAATTCATGAGAATTCATAAGACTTCAAAGAGACTTCAGAAGACTTCGAAAGACTTTCAAGATTTCATGGGACTTCACGACTGAAGTCTCTGCTGTTTCCCCCTTGGTAAAACAAAAGATATCAGCTTAAGAAATACGATACATATAAATGTGTGGATATCATTAACATTTTTCAAACACATTTTTACCCTTATTGCAAAAGTCTTTGCATAACATGTTTGTTCAGTTCTCGACCACATCCAAATCACTGGAGAGAATCAAACTTAGCTAGTCAGATAGAGCATAAAATGCTCTTGCTAAATGTATTTTCAGAATTTTTCTCTAACATACGACTGGTCTCGTGTGGCTAAATACCTGAATACATCAAAAATGTTTGCATTCACCAAAGTAGACTTTTTTCCTCTCATTCGAATTTTGGTATTTAAAATGCAATAAATTTCGATCCTTTGTAGCAGTATGTAACAAGAGTAACAAATTGTACATTTTATAGAGCAAATTTCGCTCTATAAACTGGTGTATAAAAAGATTTTCTCATGGTCTGTATTAAGGCAGTTTTAATCACAATACAAAAATTGCAGGCACGAAAAATTTTGTACAGACGTCATTTTATATCCATTCAAAGATTTCATGCAAATGAACCAACCGCTAGTCAAGAAAAAAGTTTGAACACATATATTTAGAAAGAGCATAAAATACTCTTTAAAATGATTATTTACTTGTTGCAACAAGTACTTAAGCAGCTGCAGAAATATATCCATTACAATAGTGCCCAGAACTTTATTTCATACCTTAAAGTATCCTTGAAATCTACTAAAATCCACTACATTTCTATTCAATTATTTAAATTATTTGCTGAAAAATCAGTTTTAATCCGATTTTTTTTGACAGTTTTTTGCATGGATATAAAAAATTGGATAATAAATTGAACCATCCGATACTTTTATAACAATAGTTATTGTTACTTCTGAAAGGATGGTAGATCGAATAAGCAGAGTTGTAGATCAACATAACTCGTCTATATTGATCTATGATATAACTCCAAGGAGGAAACGACGAATTTCGGGATTTCCATTAGATTCTCACGATTCTCATGGGATTTCCGGAATTTTCATAATAACAATGTGCATTTCCGAGATTTATATTTAACCTGTATAATGCTCATTCTAGCTCTGAAAATTT